ATTGCACTTCGTGCATTTTTCACGTGACCGATTACTGGGTCCTCGTGTTACATTCTGGGACTCACAATTTCCCTTTTAATCCTTATTTGGCATTTTTATATAAATATAACTGCTGTTCGATAAGTGAAAATTTTTGAGTGCAAGTGAGCTAGCGCAGCACATTGGGTGATGCACAGTACACCGAATATAGCTGCACAGCGCATTATATAGCGCTATATAGAGTATTTTATTGAAATTTGTGAAACTCAAAATTACTAAAGAAAGCAAATTTGAGGAAGATCAATTACCTAAATTAAATATCAATACACCGAATTTACTCCAATAAGTAATTTAGCGTAACATCAAATGCTAACGATTGCTTTTAAGCTAAGCGCTAATAACTAATAAATTTTAACCTTTATATAGTCACAACCTTTTATAATCACCAAAATTTTTCCCAACCGGGTGATTATATCGAGGTCTGACTGTATTACGTAACTCAAAGTTTAAATGTTAGGCCGAAGTGCCTCGTTTAATTAATCAAAACTAGAAGTTCGTGTATGCTACCGTTATATTCCGCAGCAGCGAAGGTGCAATACGGAAATGTAAGTTTGTATTCCTAGATGAGCTCTCAAAACAGTTCCTCCTATTATCCTATTATTTTTTGAACAATAATGTATAAAACAATTCATCAAGTTAAAAAATTTAGCGAAGGATGTGAAAAAACAAATCAATTTGCTGGAAAGTGATCTATTTATAAATATAATGATAAGAAATTTAATTTTTATTAATGATTTCAATCTTCGAACGAAATATCTTTTCTGCTCAAAAAAGTTTTTACATGCAAAACGATACGGATATATAAACTATTTATTCTTAATTGCTTTAAAATTTGTGTAATATGTGATCAAAAATATTTATGTGTAATAAAAACCGTATATATAAATTATACCTTGCCAATTTTTACTGATCGTTAAAAAATGAATTAGGCCATACAAAATTTATAAATCAGTTTTAATAATCAAAATTCTTATAAGTGACCCGGCAACGGGGTTTTTAATTATTTATATATCAGTACCATAATCTTACAAATCTAATAATATCTAATATAATTTATTTATTCTAAACACATCAATATATTATTAATTTGACGCATTAAATATTTATAACAACGTATAGTTTATAAATTTATTTATTAATTTAAAAGTGGTTTCCTACAAAATCATAATAATAATAAATAAATAAATAAAGCTACGATTATAAATAAATACATATACATGTATAGATATTACATATTAAATAAAATTAAATTACCAAAGATGGATCATATGGTCATAAAAAGAACAACTAGCTGCTAAATTTTGAGAATATGACCAGTCAACACCATATGCTAAAGATTTATGTTCCATAAAACTTGTTATATTGTGCATAGAATATGAATCTATAAAAATTGGTTACTTAATAATTTATTTAGTAGTTAAAAATCAATAAAAATGAATATTTAATTACCATCAGTTGTGCAATTAATATTTATTACATGAAATCCATTGTGCATACATGCACTTAGTAAAAGATTATTCTTTTTTGGATGCCATTTTAATCTCCAAACACCTCCATTTACATGACAATCTGATATTGGCTGCCTCATTGTTCTTGTATCCCAAAGTAGTATATGTTCATCATAACTTTCAAAAAAAAATATAAGATAATTATTTGAAAATAGACCAATACTTTATAAAAGTTTTTTACCTTCCTGTAACCAAATAGTGCTCAAAATGTGGATTAGATTGGATGCTACAAACACCTGCTTGATGATGCCTACAGTATAAAATATGTTAATTTTATAAATAAATAAAAATTTAACTTGATGATGACTACAAGCCTTTTGTTTGTAAATAGTGAAGATGATAAATCCATTCGCAAATCCCATCCTTTCAAACAACAATCGTCACCACCTAATTTTTATAAAAGTCATTATGATATAGAGTTAATTAATACAAAACAGTCAATAACAAAATTATTTGTAAAAAAAAAATTCATGCATAACAGTATAATCTAGTAGCTTATGACAGTTAAACCAATAGAATGACTTGAGTTCTTTTGGTGATAATTATATTATTATTAATAACTTTGTTATTTGACAATAATATAATAATTATAAAAATAATTCGATTTATTCTGTTGGTATAATTATAGTAAGCTGTCAGATAATAATAATTTTAAACTATAAATCACTGACCAGAGTATATTATATTTGTGTTATGATAATTAAATGCAGCTATCCATGCTTCAAAATCATGAGCCAACCATCGATTTTTTTCAAGAATTCCAAATTGCCCATCAACAGAAAAAACCACTATATTTCCATCACTCTGAGATAGTACAATTGATCTATTATTGCTATTTATTGCACAATAAAAATGACATATAAACAAAATTATTAGAGGCTTTTATAAGAATTAAATAAAAAATCAACAAGAATAATTATCCATTGCCACCTTAATCCTAGACGATCAGACCAATCAAGAGAAAGGCATAACTTGCTATGATCATTTACAGCATATAAAATAATAAGATCTAGTTGTGACTTTTTAAATTAATAATGAAAAAAATTAATATAATACAAAACCAATGATTTATAATAAGATTGATAAATAAAACACGCACTTTATCTTGATTTAACCCATATAGACTAATTTTTCCTGATGAATCTGCTAATGCAAGAATCATTTGATCATAAATACATTGGTGTGACCTTGGTCATAAAAAATGAATATTAGTTTATAAATATTTAATTTGAATTAAATGATTATAGACAAACCATTTCATATCCAATATCGCAGAAGTCTCTATTCGTTGGGTTTCTTTCCTATTCAATTATTACATATTTAATTATCTTTAGGGATGAGAATAGTAAATATTTAAATGCTTAATATGGAAAACTACACTTTACATCACAACAAAGGATTCATTATTCATGATCTGATAAAATAATAGTCTTCCTAATCTTCTTTTAGGTTGAGATGATACATTATTTTCATTGTCTTCTTGGTCATACTCGGAATGTTTAATTTCTGAATCAGCCAATTGATAAGTGCCACATGCTAAAAATTGAGAATAATTCTCAAAAGGACAGAATTCTACTGAATCTGCACTGTATTCAGTGTCTAGCGAGTAAAGAGATGAAGCTTTTATTTAAATACAAATAAAAATAACTAAGATTTTTTGCAATAGTTTGATTAAATAGAATAAAATTTAAAATTTAAACCATTGAGTTGTGCCATAATAATATGTTTATGAATAAGGTAATGTTTTTTTGTATCGTAAACTTGTCAAGATAATCTGCAACTCGGGATTTTTATTGAACTAGGTTCAGGTTTATTATTCAAGAAAATCAAAGAGCGAGTTCGATCTTATAGCTTATTTATTTATTTCTCACGTGTGATTACACTATTTGATCTAATACAATAGACTTCACATTATATATTGTTATTTAGCTTCTAAATTACGTTATCTTGCATACGATCCGATCATTTCTAATACTGTACGTATCTTCCTCCCTGTTATTTCCTACCCCGGTACAATGTACCACGTGCAACCAATTAATTGCCGTCACCATTAATTTTTGATACATAACTAAAAATTAAATTTGGGAATCAATGACTCCATCAGTAGAAGTAAGTAGATTGATATTTAAAATAAATTAATACCTTACCTTTCACAGTTCATATCTCGATGAATTTTGAAGCTATCTTGATGATTTGGTAGTTAAAGGAAAGCTTATATCTTAAGCTTTCTTTTGGCTGCTAAATTATTAAGATATCATCAAAATTTTGTTGAGATATAAGCCGTGAAAGGTAAGGCATTAATTTTTTTAAAATGTCAACTCACCTTATTTGTATCGATGGCAGCCTAAATTCTTGGAGTTAATGATCAAATTTTAGCTTAATTTCATAATTCGCCGTGATGCATTGCTTAACACGTTTTTTATTCGTTTCTTGGTGAGCTTATATTTTAATTCATTAATTATCTTATACTAATGGGTTTTAATTCGTACTGATATCGTTAATATAAATAAATAATTTTATCCTCAATTATTAGTTCAAATAATTTAGTAGTATGAATTGCACTCTCTTCCATTTGGGTAAATATCTAGGTGTGACATTGAAATAATGTTATAAAGTCCCATTATAGGCTTTTACCAGTCTTTTATTCAAATTTAAGAATATGTTTCTTAAAATTTTTCGTAACAATTTATTAATTAATGTGTTTATAAGCATGATTAGGACTTATTATTCTAAGATATGACATGAATTATTAATAAAAAAGAGGTTAACTTAAAACAAATATAATAACGTTATGTCAAAAAAAAAAAAGTAAACTTGGGCTTGAAAAGAGGCTGAATGAAACGACTTCGAGATATAAAAAAAAAAAAATGTTAATTGCGCTATGTCGTTTAAAAGAGCTAAATAAAAAAAAATTTTTTTTTAAGAACCTAAGATTAACTTTATTTATAATTATTTTAAAAACTAGCCTCGTAATGGGTTTTATTTTATTCTAAACCATTAAATCTATATTCTTTTAATTTCAATGAAATCAACGTGGTGATCTTGCAAAGAGCATCCGTTAATGCTTTTTTTCCTTCCGATCCAATTTGATTAAATTCAAGATTCAAATATTCCAGAATATTATTCTTGCAAAGCGCATCGGCTAACGCTTTTCCTCCTTCTAATCCAAGCTCATTTTCACCAAGATCCAGAGAAGTCAACGTGGTGTTCTTGCAAAGTGCATCTGCAAATATTTTTCCTCCTTCTGATCCAAGTTGATTACAATTAAGATTCAAAGAAGTCAGCGTGATGTTCTTGCAAAGTTCATCTGCAAATACTTTTCCTCCTACTAATCCAAGTTCATTCTTTTGAAGATTTAATCCTTTCAACATGGAGTTCTTGCAAAATGCATCTGCAAGTACATCTGCTAATTCTTTTCTCTAAGACAATTACAACCAAGATCCAATGATGTTAGCTTGGAGTTTTTGCAAAGTGCATATGCTAAATATGCTAATGTTTTTCTTTTTTCTGATCCAATATTACAATTATAAAGATGCAGAGAAGTCAGCGTGGAGTTCATGCCAAATGCATATGCTAATGCTATCCCCCTATTGATCCAATTTTATTAAAACAAAGACTCTAAAAAGTCAGCGTGGAGTTCTTTCAAAGTGCATTTGCTAATTCATTTCCTCCTTCTGATCCAAGATTATTATATCTAATACTCAAATCTTTCAGCGCGGAATTCTTGTAAAGTGCATCTGCTAATGCTTTTCCTCCATCTGATCCAAGATTATTGTCATCGATGTTCAAAGAGATCAAGGTAATGTTCTTGCGAAGTGCATCTGCTATTGGTTTTCCACCTTCTGATCCAAGATTATTGTCATCGATGTCGAAGAGATCAAAGTAGTGTTCTTGCGAAGTGCATCTGCTATTGCTTTTCACCTTCTGATCCAAGTTTATTTTTATAAAGCATCAAATCTTTCAGCGAGGAGTTCTTGCAAAGTGCATCTGCTAATGCTTTTCCGCCTTCTGATCCAAGATTATTGTCACCGATGTTCAAAAAGATTAAGGTAGTGTTCTTGCAAAGCGCATCTATTAATCGTAGCTACTGTACATTTTTTCGTAACTTTATTATCTGATTTCGTGATTAAAGTACATAATATTATCATTTATATTATTGCTAAAATTCAAAAAAAAAAAAAAAATAGTTTATTAAATTTCATCAAAACAATATTTCATGTTCGTGAAAGACACTATTAGAAGAAATCAGACCTGATAAACATTGTAACGAATGGAATGTCATTCGGTCCCCTGTAGTATTAGTTATTTCAATTTATTTTATCTATTTATTTTATTTTCATTATCTTTTATTTGTTGTTTATTGTTAGTATTTTATTTGTCCTCGTGTTATTATATTTTTCCCCACCAATTCCATTTTGATAACAATGTCCACGTTATTATTAATTTACCCCCGTATGATAATTGAATCAACTATACTAAAATGGAAGTTGTAAGTGTATCGGTGGCTTAGATGCATGAAAATCAAGTGCATCGCGAATACGCGGTTAATACAGCGAGCTCGCGGTTATGACAGCCAACGCGTAGCTTTAATAGCAAGCACGCTGAAGATTCCGCGATAAAATAGAAAACACAGATAATACGCTGAAAATACAGCGAAACAATTGTAAACCTACATAAGACCTTCAAAAATTAATAAAGTTGGATAAGTTCTACGTCCCTCATACCAAATAAAATAAAGTAAATACTCATCTTGAAATTTCGACTTGAACTTTAATAAACCGTCGTAACTCAATTCGACGGACTGAATTGACTTGTAACCTCGAACGTTTTATTAAGACTCGAAATTTTGTATAACTGTCTTCTTGCACTTTCGAAACTTGGTCACGTGAACAGTGTCTGGAAATCCTCTCGTCTAGAGAAAAGCTTAATTAAAAACGTGAAAGTAACCTCTCCCACTTCCTTTGGCATCAACAGCAACAGCTGATTGAAATTATCGGATTAAAATCACGATTGCTTAATAAACTAAGCACCATTATCAATAAATCATCAATTTTATTTAATTATCATTTTAAATATCAAGCTCCTTGTAGTATCATCCGGTCCATTATATCTATAATCGATCTTAAGACCAATTACTTTTAAGACATTTATATTTTATTTGTTTATATAAACCTCCATTTTCGTATACGGTTGGAGTTTTAAATTGGCACTATTGTCCATAATTGTATCCCCGCTCTCCCATTCAACCGTTACAACATGATCAAACACCTCACCAAAAATGTGTTGATTTAGTTGATCAATTAAGGGTCATTTATCAAAATGTAAAAGCCGCCAAGAAATATATGAGATTTATTAAAAGTTCAAAACCAGAATTCTGGTTCGTCAAAGCTTATTCAATGAGCTACGAGCTTTCATTGTGATTGGTTAGATTTTAGCGATCATCTCGTGATTTTATTGGCCGATAGACCAATCAAATTGTGAGATAATAGTAGAATAACGACGGTACGTACAGTAGTATTAAATATTGGTCTTCAAAGTTTTACTTAAATATCAAGGCACACCATTACACTCTACCCTCGTTATGACGGACCCTTCGGGCTGAAAGATTTTGTTCATTATGTCCATTATAAATGAATATCCGTTATAATGTTGTATAATAGAATAATAATATTTTTAAATTGTTTTAAAGTTATAACAAGGTATCCGCTATATCTGAGTCCGTTATAACGAGGGTAGAGTGTATGTACATAAGAAATACCTTTAATACTTTTATTATCTCCTATAAAGAAGAAATATTGATTTCAATATTGAGAGATCAACAAATTTTATATATTCTATCAATAAACACACCCTTTTCGCCTTTCCGTACGTTTTCATTTGATGTCGCGAATGTTGCTGAAATTTGAGGGTCTCGATTTAAAAATATAAACCCTACAAGATCAACCTATACTCTTTTGCTAATGTTGCTAACTTAAATCCTAATTTA